TATTTTTTTTTTTAAAGCAGAGGCCCTAGAGAAAAAAAAATGGTGGGAGTTGCAATTTTTTTTTTATGTCACATGGTCTTTGAACCTCTCTCTCGCTCTTTTTTTAAATGAGGGGCATGAAGATGTCCACATACACACAAGTGGGCAGCCAAAAATGCAAAGAACGGATGCAAAATGTGGACAGTGTGAACCCTCATACACTCAGATTGAAGATTGAATGTATGAATGATGGCATAGGAATTGAACATGAACAGGGAAACTGTGCTGCAGATTCTAATGGAGATTTGGCAGCGAGAAAGATTTCCATAAAGATGATACCTCAAATTTTCACACAAGATAAGAATGTAGTCTTTTGAAGAATGCAGAGGGGTCGGACAAGGTTACCAGTGATGAAATGTTTTTTTGCAGGATAAGCCAACAAAAAAAAACCCAAAAAAAAACACCCCACACACCAGATCATGCAGTGGAAAACAAAATTCACCTCGTCCAAAGAAAGCACGTCTTGTGCTCAGTTAAAAATCATGCTGGAGTTTGGGTCACAAGGGAATGGTTTGCTACAAATTCATAGAACATGGTATAAATGGTCAACCAACATTGGTACTTGGAAATTATGAAAAAAAAGTTACAGGGGTCTGTTCAAAGATAATTTCTGGCCTGACATGTTGATTCTCCACCAAGACAATGCTCCTGCACATGTGTTTGAGTTCCTGGCCCAACTGCTTGGGGGACCTTCCTCCCAAAGGCCTGGCCCTGGCTGGAGATCAGGTGCAGACAGTAATGTTGGACAAAAAGGTAGAGAACCTCGACCAGTTTGCTGTCCTACAGAATTGCTCCAGGGTGGTGCCCACTTTTTCTGCCCATGTAGCTGCTGAAGCCTTAGAGAGTGTGCCTTTAGACCAGTGGTTCTCAACCTTCCTAATGTCGTGACCCTTTAATACAGTTCCTCATGTTGTGGTGACCCCCAACCATAAAATTATTTACCCAGTAATTATAATTCATGAGTGTCGTTTTACCTCCAATACTGCTGCTTTCAACACAGTAGCTGCTTTTAACAGAGTAGCTGCTTTCAACACAGCAGCTGCTTTCTACACAGTAGCTGCTCTTTACACATCGGAAATATGTGTTTTCTGATGGTCTTAGGGGACCCCTGTGAAAGGGTCGTTCGACCCCCAAAGGGGTCGCGACCCACAGGTTGAGAACCACTGCTGTATGGCACTTTATTGTGCTCGATGTAGCAGTATTCTCCTCTATACAAATAAACTGGTTCCTCTACAAAAAACACATTATTGAGGATATATCATGTATATCTTTATAGATGATGGAGCTCCCAGCTCTCAATATTTACAGTATAAGTCCACTTTACTAAAGGAGTTGAGAATGTTCACACAATAAATTATGTTAAAGTGATACTAAACACACCCTGTTTAATTAACATACTCCCTTATATTTTTGAATATGGATAATGGCGTTGTAATTATTTTAACTAAAAAACCCATTTAAGTACCTTTTTCCTTGTTGACATTCAGCTGTCACATCACCCAGCTCTTTCCCAGCCTGCCTGCAGGGAATCATAAGCAGGAGGAGCTTACAGGCCTCTGATGCTGGCCACATGTTCAAAATGAAAAAAAAAAAGCCTTTGGGATACAAAGTAAAAAGAAATCATTAATATTAATAAATTGTCATACAAATAAATATTTGAAATCAAATCTTTGTTATTTTTTGGCAATAATATAGTGTGGGGGGATTTCTGCCAGTCACAGGCTGTATCACACCCCTCTAGCCTGTGTCCTATAATAACATAGAGGTGAAGCCTCCATCAATCAAGATGTAATATCCCTCCCCCATTGTGTTTAGCTGGTTGATGGGCATGGAGGAGGATGAAGGGAGTGAGCTGTCATTTGCCACTGTGTATATGCCCTTATGTGTGACTCTATAGTCACATGGGCTGCTCAGATGTGATCAAGGAGGAAATACTCAGCATAGAAAACTCATTAATAACTGAGCATATGTAGTAGCTGCCACCACTGCTCTTCAGCATCCCAAACTGCATTGGGGAAATGATCAAAAAGGGGAGATAGAGAACAGCAGGATCAACTAGTTTTTTTTTCAGAATGCAGAAAACAAATTCCATAGTGACTTAGTGAGTATGAACAACATGTAATACAGCATTTATTGATAGTTTTTTTATGTTTTGGGTTTAGTGACACTTTAATATTCCCTTCAATTATTCAAATCAGTTGTAAATGAAATTACTAACTACAGTAACTTACTATTTAGCACTTCTGCCTTACAGCATTGGAGTTTTTGAACGCCATCTGCATGGAGTTTGCATGTTCTCCCTGTACCTGTGTAGGTTTCCTCTGGGTACTCCAGTTTCCTCCCACACTCCAAAGTTATGCTGGTTAATTAGCTCCTGTCTAAAAGTAGCGCTAGTATGTGTATGTATGAATGTGACTTAGGGACATTAAAATTGTAGGCTCCTTGCGGACAGGGACTGATGTCAATGTATAGTATATAAAGTGCTGCATAAATTGTCAGCACTTTTTAAATAACCAGAATAAATAAACAAAATTGTAAAAACCCACTTCTCTACTAAAGCAATTATTTAATTTTATGCATGTAATAATCTGCATCTTTGGCAAGAAAATTATTTAAAAGACAACTAAACCCTCAAAAATACATCTTACATCGATAAGGAGGTCACATCCCTCACCAGCCGCTGACTTCTCCCTGACTTATTTTCGCTGACTTTATAGTATTTTGTTTCCAGAAGTTGCAAAGCATTGGGTCATGTAAGACCAAATGACTGTTTTGGGTCTAGAGTTGCTACTCTGCTTTTTACCAGTGTCTGTTTTTTAGCCTCTAGATTGGCCGGTGGCAGAATGACATCATCCTCCACATGCACATGGGATTCAGTCATTCCGACACAGCATGCGCAGATTCATGTACATTCAATAGAATATTGCAAACACGTAGGCAGGGGCGGACTGACAACTCATGGGGCCCCCAGGCAATAGGGGGTCATGGGGCCCCTATGTCCTCACCCACACCCAAAAAAGCCTATGAAAAAGCCAATGAAAGGTACCAGGGGCATCTCATGGGGCCCCCTACTGACCCCGGGCCCTCGGACAGTGCCCCGAGTGCTCGAATGGTCAGTCCGCCCCTGCACGTAGGGCAGGGAAGTGCTTGTAGTTGCAGAAGAGATATAGCATGTCATTTCTGCAATAAAGAGCTGCCTGCTAATAGTTTTTTCACTGGTTAAGTTTAGTTCTACTTTAGACCCCCCAAAATATTATATATTTTCTGAACGCACATGCCCTGTATAATCAAAAAAATGGTACTTCAAATTTTTATGTCATGTGATATTTGTGCAATTGTTCATCAAATCTATATTTTTAGTAAAAAGATACACTAAAGTGAATTTTTGTGCACACAAACACAATATAATCCCCATTTCTTTTGTGCAAAATAAAATATGAGGTTGTGTAGTAAATAGATAAAAAATGTATCAAGCCTTAAAACTGCAACAAATCATGGCACTCAAAATTATCATGCTTTACAGCTCATTGGTTTAGAGTTAACCATATAGGACAGACCTAGAATTATTTCTACTCCGGTTTGTATGGTGATACATAATATGTATTGCACAATCTTCCTGTGTGATATTAAGCACCCCTGAGTACCTGAGGTACACATTGTAGCCCCCTAGGCAATTGGCAATGGCTAGATAATTGCAAGCCAATGCTGGAAATTATGAACACTGCTTGCTATCATGGAACCAATAATGCCCTACCTGCAATACAAAGGAAGAATGTCTCAAGCTATTTGGAACATACACTACTCTGTAGTATTCTTCCCTTTTCTGGCAGGACTGATGTAGACCACTGATTCCAAATGTCCAAAGACTGAGCCCCCTCAGAGTTGTGCGCCTTGGACTTCTGCCCATATTATTACCCCTTTTATGATCCGCCATTTTCAGAAACTGAATATGCAGAGTTAAAGTCCGAGTTTGGTATCACGCAGGAAAATCATAGCTTCTTGTAGCCAGATAAAGTCAAATCATCAAAGAGCTTGTTTAGACATACAGAAAGTCAAAGAAATTTGTTTCCATGACAAATGTACAAATATAGTTGAAATTCTGTAATGTATTGCTAAGCAACAGAACTGATGCAAAAAGACTCAGCATAACAGATGTTAGCCATAGAAACCAATAAAGTTCTTGCTTACATTGTCTAGCTTGTACCACAGAAACACCTTCAGGGTCACCTTGATTCTATAGGCAATATCTCCTTTGTAATTTCACCCAGGACATCCTGCTTTACTTTCTCTACATCACATGTGTCAAACAAAAGGCCCGTGGGCCGAATCCAGGCCCGCCAGGCCATTTCATGTGGCCCTCACACCCAGGGATTTTTTTAGCTGGAAAGTGGCAGAGTGGTGCAGAGGTCAAAGCTAAGAAGGAGATGTGGACATCCCTTGAAAGAGAGCTAAACCCTGTACTCTGTGCACATTTCTGAACTCTGCACAACACATACTCCTGGACTCTGCACTGTGTATGTAGCGCACCTCTAAAGCAGCACTCTGCATGTAGTACTCCTGAGCTCTGCATATATAGTCTTACAGATACAACCAACCCTTTGAAGGCAACCTAATGCTGATGCAGCCCATGATAAATTGAGTTTGACACCCTTGTTCTACATCATTCCATTCAGGGCAAAGCAACAGGCTTCTGCAGAGGGTTATACTCATCTTCCCCTTTCTCCCTTGCCACTGTGTTCGGCAGGCAGAAAGTAGAAGAAAAATCTATTACTTCTGGGTATGGGGAAACATGTGACTCACTGCCCTTCCTCTCACATAATAGCGATGGTGCTTGGTGATTGGTCACTCAGGCACCCAGAGTGGTTACAGCCAGGGGCGGACTGACCATTTGGAAACTCGGGCACTGCCCGAGGGCCCAGGGTCAGTAGGGGGCCCCATGAGATGCCCCTGGTACCTTTTTCATAGGCATTTTTTGAGTTTGGGCAAGGACACAGGGGCCCCATGATCCCCTATTGCCCAGGGGCCTCATGAGTTGTCAGTCCGCCCCTGGTTACAACACAGAGCTTACACAGGACTTCTGCTTCTTGCTCCTGCAATGCGCATTATTATTTTCAAGTACAGCTGTCGCTTGGCCATATACGTTCAAATAGTTAAATATAATACACAAGCAATAAATAAGCTTTAAAACATACCCTCCCTGACCTCTGTAGCTGTATGTACTGTGGATTAGTTCATTCTCAATATTTTCAACAGATGCAATATTCTCAGGAGCTCAGCTCATTCTGGACTCACTTCTCAGCAGACATTCAGTATTCAAATTTCATTGGAAGAGAACCCACATGGGCGACTGTAACTTTGAGGATGATTTTTCCACAGTGTCTGCTGAAATAGATATCAGAGAGGACTTGTTTTAAAACTCACTTACCGCTTGTTTAATAGACAATAAACTGTCTGAAAAAAGAAAAATACTATTCAAATATGTATTCCAAATGCACCTTCTGTTGATTTCAGCCTCCTCCAAATCTCCAAATTCTCTTTTATTTTTGCTGCTGTGATTTGACTTCCTGTTAGAGGTTGGCTACGTTCCTTCTCCATGGTCCTACTGTGTGCAGGAACATATTCACCCCTTCTTGCTCACTTTCTAGCTGGGAAAGGGACTATGGACTATGGGATGTGTAGTGTGCAGTGCATGTAACCCCAACTAATGTGCACTTCTTGTTCCAAACAAACAGAAGTGTGGGGAAAAAGAAAGGTTCTGGAGCTCACGGAAGATGGTACAAGGAGGTAGAAATATTTTTTTTTGAGGATAAAGATATTGTTAATGTCACTTTAAGTATATATTAATACTTAAATGCCCATAGCTTGGACACAGATGGACTTTAAAGCAGGTTTTGTCACAGATACGGTATATACTATGGTCAATCTTTCACTAATGCCTATAGGCACATTGAGGCTGACCGTAATGAGTCAGCTGGAGATGTCTGTCCCAGAATGAGTAGCTCAAGTTCAGGGACCTGCTGCATATGTCGCCTACAGTAAGTGACAGTGTCACATACCTGGTGTTTGATACTTCCCTTGTTTGCATAGAAGACAGATGTGAACAAATCAGTAAGATTTCTTTTACACCACATGAACGTAAAGCAGAACTCCAGCCAAAAGCAGCAAGATAGAAAAAAGAACAGAATAAAAAAAACAAAACCAGCTTTTGCACCAAAATTCACTTTCAATCCAAATATTTATTATTGAGCACTTTTTTGATGTATTCAGGCTGATGGCCAGCATCATTCAACCCATTTCCCTGAGCCCAGGTCATTCTGGACCAACCCCAACCTGTGACGGGACAGTGGAAGGAGAAGCAACATATTATTGAGCTCACCTCTCTGTCACTCTGCTTCCTACTCCTATCAACATGATTCTTGACAGCACTTGAACTGATTAGCTTCTTCTGTTCTTGCTCCTCTGACACTCCAACTATAGATTGCAAGAGGCTGATACCAGGTCACAGTCAGGTACTTAAACCTTGCATTGAAAAAAAAAACACATTTAATGATGTATTGATGATCACAGAGCTGCTTTAATGTAGGTCTTTTATATCTGCCTATAGCTCAGCTTTAAAATGTTCAACATTTTTCTGATGCCTGATCAGGCTTTTGAATTTAGTTTTTCTCCATTCATGACATTTTTATAACCTGCATACCATATGCAATCCAATTATCTTTAATTCCATGAACCTTACACATATTCATCTCCTGCACTTAATCTACAGAGAAAATGATTTACCATATAATCCAGTGTATTCAAACCTCAGAGGACATGTTCATCAAATACCAAGAGAAGGGGCATGCAGCCACAATGCTGCAGAGAAAGGTTCCTGCCTGGTGCTGGGATTTTTCAGCTGGCAGTATGAGGGACAGTCTATGATTGTTGTCCCATAGATATCACCAGGCTTTTCAAAATCTCAAAATCCTAAGTGGCTTCTGTAGCTTTTAACCTGATCCTTTATTTTATCCATATTCAAAATAACAGATTTGCTCTCTAGAAGACAACATAGGCATCCTATACCAACCTTCCCTGCCCACCTTGAGGGCTTGTTTACACTTGTAGTCAAACATCAAAATCAAAATCCCATAGTTGAGTCATGTTTTTACCACCCCCCTTCAGTGACCGGGGGTGTACACAGGGTGTATTTACCACAAGGCAAACAAGGCACTTGCCTAGGGTGGCATTTTTCAAGTGGGCAGCACCTCCCCCCAGAAGAAGGGATGAAAGAAGGGACATGTGCACCAGGTGGGATCCGAGAGAGGATGCTTGATTGTGTATATAGAGCCTGATGTTCGGAGCTGTGAAGATGAGGGGGGGGGGGGGTGGTAGCAGAAGGCTCTCCTGGTGGGGGGAGGGGTATTGTTGGCCAATTGGCCAATGTCCGTGGGGTCAGACTATTTTTGTGTTGCATAGGGCAGCACAAAACCCAAATACACCACTGCATGTACACATGCTGTGGCCTTGATGCTGTACAGCCACAACAGGAATTATAGGACATGTCGCTTTTGGCGGGTGCCACTTTGCACCCCACAACCGACCCAAAATGTACACATTTGCAGCTGCTAGCGTGGGGTTTAAGGGGTTAAAGCAGGCAGTAAGGAGGCAGTACAGTGCCTCCTCACTGTCTGTCAAATGTTCTGTAAAGAGCAACCTGAACATGAATCACTCTTCAGAGACCAAAGCAAGTGTGAATGAGACTACTACTACTAATATGCCTATATTTGGTTAATGAGTCCTTACTGCTCTGATCTATCCCCAAGCCCCCAAAAGTGCTCAGTACTTTCAGGAACATGACATTCCCCCTGCTTCTTATGCCCTGTTCACACCTTTTAGGCCTTGTACACACAGGAAAAAAACTCTCCTAGAAGCTGTCCTCCTGGCAGCAGCGTTTTTGCTTAAAAAAAACGCTTGACGCTTGTAAAAGTATCTAACGCTTTTACAGTCGTTTAGCCACAACTACAAGTGCCAAGCTCTTAGATATTAATTCATTTCATTGGCCAGAATGATTATTTTTCTGGCCATTGAAATTAATTAACGCTGAAGTGTTTATACACGCCTAGCGTTTAGCCGCGTCAAGCATTTTTTTCTGCCAAATTGCTGCTGCTCTTGGGCGCACTGGCCCTGGGTTTTTTTTTCCTGCTGGTAAACAGTACTGCTACTAAAAGCTTCCAAAAGTCTATGTGTGCATGGACACATAGGATAACATAGAGGACTGTTTAGAATCAGTAAAGAAAAATGCCTGACGCCCCTAAAAGTGGCTGCAAAAATGCTCTGTGTGCATGAGGCCTTAATGTGTCTTCTATGTGCTAGTGACCTCTGTATGTTGCATTTTTCCCACGGAGCTTGCAGTGCATTTTGCCTTGTTGAACTTTTTTTATTGTGAATATGAAAGCATTGACTTTGATGACACTTATGTGAATTTGGATAGGTGTGACTTTGACGCAACTTTGGATGGGTGCAAATTTGATGCTGCTATTGATGGGTGCAACTTGGTTGCAACCTAGATGTGACTTTGGACACGTAAAGGTTCCTGCATGATTTTGATGAGACTTTGATGTTACTTTGATGCTACGTAAGTGGCAGAGAGTGTAAAGTTGCATCAAAGTTGCACTACATGAAACTACATGAACAGAACTGTCATATTAGCAAAAAGAAAAAATGCAAAACACATCAAAAATGCAACATTTGCATTTTTGTTGAGGTTCCATTTAAGTCTATTACAAAAAAAAAAACAATCTGCTGCGGGAAAAAATCCCTGACCCCTCCAAAAAAATGCCTCGGCTCAAAATGCACAGATGTGAGCTAGATCCATAGGAAATCACATTGAAATGGACTGTAGTATGTTTCTGCAAACTGGAAATTGCACTGAAAAATGCAAGTGTGAACTTCGGCTTATGCAAACCTGTTGTTACTTTTAGAAACATAGAACAGTGAAAGTGGTCCATCAAGTCTGCCCCCTTTTTTTGTTTTGTTAACTTTTTTGTCTAAGTATAGATCTATGTCCTTTCCAAGCATGTTTGCATTCACCTACTGTTATCTGACTCTTGTCAGTGTTAAATTGTTTATGTCAACCCTCTAACTGCCACTTTTGCTGGACAACTTGGGCTGTTAAAAGAAAATATAAAATAACAGATTTAAAGGGATTTAATTTAAAGGGATTCACCATGTGAAAATAAAGAAAACCCCTAAAAAAATAAAACTAATGCAGCCACCACATGTAAGAATTTGAAAGCTGCAATAGATTACTTTATTGTTTTGGGTTTAATATGGTTTTAAATTTAGTTCTGGTTTAAAGCAGAAATCCAGGAAAATTCTCATTTTGTTCTAGGGGAGAGGACACTGAAGATATGCTCACCTGACCCAATCGATCCTCCCTGCACAAGATCCCCCCCCCCCCCCCCCGCAGTACACCGTTCTTATAAATGGGCTCTTCCTGACATCAGTATGCTCAATGTCTGCTCCACAGACAGGAACAATCCATCGTGGGACTATGGGGGAGCGTGGTTTTCTGTAAGATTGGCGGGTCAGGTGATTATGAGTTTAGTCCTCACCGCTACAAAAAATGAGCAGCAGATCCATGCAGTGGGGGCACAGCCCCAATGCATAGTAAAAGAAAAAAATCTGACTGGATTTCTGCTTTAACTGTTTCTGCTTGACTTGTCCTTTTATTTTGTATATTTGCGTGAAAATTAATTTTTTTTTAAATTAAACTAGCAATACTATTCTAATTAATATTATTATGTCTCCTGACCTCCCATAAACTCTACAGAACACAAAACACTCCGCAGAAACCTCTCACCTGTTAGTTCACATGTTGCTTCGATACACATAGCAATTTCTTCACAAGTTCTTTTCTTGAATAACAGCAGATCACACTGCAAAACAACAATGTAAACTACATAATGCTGCGAATAAAAAACTTTATTGAAGTCACACCGATCTGTTACAACAAAATGATACTTGCCCTACACGTTTTCCTCTGCATTCTATATACTGACAGTTATGTA